TGGTCACTCTGTGGCCAGGGGACAGGGTGAGGCCAAGCGGCCCCAGACATACCACCTGCTCCAGCCAGACCCGGCCCCCTTGCTCCGCTGACCTCCCTCCTGGGCTAGAGGCCCTTCCACACCAGAAGGCCGTGCAGGATGGCCTCTGGCCCTCCCTTAGCCGGTTCTCCCTCCTGGCCAGCACCTGGCCCCGGGCAGCCCTGATGTGCCCAAGCCCCTCCGAGGGCCGTGCGCTCCCAGGGAGGGAAGAGGAGGGGAGCCACGCAGTCACCCCAGAGGCCCTCCCGCCGTGCCCGCCGCGCGCCTTTGACCGAAGCGTCTGCATCGACTTCTCGAAGGTCTTGGGAGTTGCCCGCTGATGGTTGCAGAGAACGGCAATGGCCCGATTTGCTCGGTTGTAAGACAGAATCTTAGCGGCTACGCTGTCTTCAGCTAGAAAACAGGAGTCTGTTACGCAGCGGCAGCCACAGGACAACAGCCGCTGCCGCCCCGAGGAAGGACCTCACAGGACAGGACTCAGGGTCCGCACCTAGTCCAAGGGCCTCCCAACAGAGGCAGAGAGGAGGCCTCCCCAGATCCCCCCTGGGCCCATGTCCAGGAGCCCCCGCTGGGGGTGGGAGTGGCAGGAAGAGGGTTCCCGCACACAACGGGGGGACACGCAGAGCTGGACAGGCGCTTCAAAACCGACTCTGCCGAGGAGCAGACGCAGAGACTGGGCAGGGCCCTGACCGTGGGAGCAGAGACTGGGCAGGGGCCTGACCGTGCGGGTGGCCCCGTGGGGATGGCTCGGCCTGGGGACCTGCGCATCCCTGACCCGTCCCCGCAGGCCAGGGGAGCTCCACTCTGCCCTGGACACCGGCCACGCGGCATCCCGTACCAACCCAGCAGCCAGGCACCAGCCCACAAGCGGGCGCCCTGTCCCCACACCAGGTTCTAGCCAGAGCACACGAGCAAGAAAGCGACGTAAAAGGCATCCAAATTTGAGAGGAAGAAGTAAACTGTCTTTATTTGCAGATGGCAGGATCTTGTGTATAGAAAACCCACCAGATTCTACAACAACAACAAAAAATTATTAGGGCTGATAAATTATTAGGGCTGATAAATTATTAGGGCTGATAAATTATTAGGGCTGATAAATTATTCGGGCTGATAAATTAATTCAGCGAAGTCGCAGGGTACAGGATCAATATACAAAAATTGCTTTTCTTCCCTTCCACCTGCAGTGAGTTACCTGAGGAAAGCACAGAACAACTGCATTTACAGCAGCACCAAAAAACGAAAATAGCTGGGAGTGAACTTAACCAAAAAAGTAAAGTATTTGTAAACTTTAAACTACAAAACGTGCCGAAAGAAATTAAAGAAGCTCTAAGTAAATGGAAAGTCATCCCATATTCATGGATTGGAAGACTCATTTTGCTAAGATGGCAATATTCCCCAAAGTGATCCACAGAAAAACCTAATCCCCATCAAAAGGTTGGCTTCTTTGCAGAAACTGACAACAATCCTAAAATTCACATGGAAATACAAGCTATCCAGAATAACCAAAACAATCCTGAAAGAGAAAAACAAGGTTAGAGGACTCACATTCTGATTTAACAGGGACTTCCCTGGTGGCGCAGCGGTTAAGGATCCGCCTGCCAATGCAAGGGACACGGGTTTGATCCCTGGTCTGGGAAGATCCCACATGCTGCAGAGCAACTAAGCCTATGTGCCACAACTACTGAGCCCACATGCCACAACTACTGAGCCCACATGCCGCAACTACTGAAGCCCGTGAGCCTAGAGCCCACGCTCTGCAACAACAGAAGCCACTGCAATGAGAAGCCAGCACACCACAACGAAGAGTAGACCCCGTTCGCCATACCTAGAGAAAGCCCACACACAGCAACAAGGACTGAACGCAGCCAAAAATAAAACAATTTTTTTTTTAAAGTACAAGGAAAAATAAAACAGCTAAAGTGGACTCATCAAAATTTCAAACCTTTTGTGCTTTAAAGGACACCATCAAGAAAATGAGAAGGCAATCCACAGGAAGGGAAAAAATGTTTGCAAATCATGTATCTGGTGAATCTAGTGTTCAGAATATATAAAGAACACTTACATCTCAACAATAAAAAGACAAATAACCCAACTAAAAAAAAAAAATAGACAAAGAAACTGATCAGACATTTCTCCAAAGATATACAAACGGTCAATAAGCACAAAAGATGCTCAACATCCTTACCCATCCGGGAAATCCAAATCAAACCCACCATGAGAGGCCACTTCACACCCACCCACTTCATAAGCCTTCACATGTCTCCTCATACTAGCAACTCCACAAAGAGTACCCCATTTCACATACAAGAAAAAAGAGGCTCAGAAAATCTAATTTCCCCAGAATCATATCGTTGCTGAAAGCAGGATCTGATACCAATAAAGACCATTCTGATCCCAAAGCTGGCAGCCCCACCTGTGGTCTCTGCTGCCCCCTTCACAAGGTGTGAAACAGCACTGACCAGCAGAAATGTGACACAAGCCACAAGTGAATTTTAAACCGATTTGATTTTTTGCAATATACTTAATTTCAACCAAAATATCTAAAATATTGTCACTACAATGTGTGATCAATATAAAAAAATGAGTTCACATTCTTTTTCCTACTATTTGAAGTCAGCATGAACTCTACACCCACAGCATGTCCCCACCGGGACCAGCCACATCTCAGGAGCTCACAGCCACACGCGGCTGGTGGCTGCAGGCTAGACGGCCCAGGAGGAGTGGTTAAGACGGCGGTGTCCAATGTGTGCTCCTCTGCTTAGTGTCCCTGTGACACGGCCAAGTTGCTTAACCTCTCTGTACCTCAGTTTCCTAACCTGGTAAGTGGAGATAACAGCACCTACCTCGCCAAGGACTGGCCAAAAGCAATGGAGACACAGAGCCAAGTGCATCACAGACGCTGGTTCTCACTAGCACCCGGTAACACCTACATTTCAAAGCTGCCCCTGCCCTACAATATTTTGGCGTTACCCACCACGCCTCCCCGACAGGCCCACAGCCGCAGCAAAAGCCAGCACTTACAGCCACCTTCTCTTTATGCCCACACGTGGGCGTGAAAGAGACCGCGGGTGGGGGTGGGGCGGAGGCGGGCCGTGAGCCCGGGGCGGGGCTACAGGGGTGGTGACCGGGTGAGGGGCGGGGCACGGCCTGCAGGGGGTGGTGATGGGCAGTGGGGGCGGGGCCAGGGCGAGGGCGGGGCCGGCGCGGGCTTACCATCTCCACCTGCCTTCTCCCTCCTCCTCCAGCCCTTTGGTGGCCTCGTGGTCCCTTTTCCTGTCTCTCCCTCTGGACGTTGCACCGACCGGCTCCTCCTCTTGGCCTCTGCCCTGCTCCAGGCCACACCGACTTATCTCCTCTCTCTGTCGCTTCTCCCACCGTACATCCTTCCCGGGGCGGCCCAGTCCACACCTGATGGCCCTCTCCGCCCGCCCATCCCCCGCCAGCTCCCCATCCCCTTGTCTCTGTTCCTTTGCTTCCGGAGCCCCTGCTCCGCCCACGCTGTCCTTCTTCCTTTTTTTGACTTTTCTGGAAACCACAGTCTCTGATGCGGACTCGTTACCAGCACCACATTTTTCATTTTCTTCTTAGTTTCTCCAGCCCACATGTCTTTCCCTTCCTCGACATTCCCTTGTAGCTGCTTCCTCCCCACCAACTCTCCCACCTTTTCGGTGTAGGCTAGCTGCCCGTCGTGGACGTTCCCCCCCCCCCCCCCCCCCCCCCCCCCCCCCCCCCCGCCCCCCGAGGTCGACGCCCCCCCCCCCCCCGCCGCCCCCCCCCCCCCCCCCCCCCCGCCTGCGCGTCTTCCCTGCGGCTCTCGGCTCCCGCGTCCCCATCGCCTCCATGCACCGCCTCCCCGCTAGGCCTGCGCCCCCTCTCCGCAGGCACCCTCCTGCTGTGGCCACATGCACCCCTCCAGTCCCCGCTGCCCTCCTCCAGCTTCGAAGCCTTGGTCTGTCTCCCAGCACCTTTCTCCTTAAGCCCTTCCCGCCTTTGCTCTTCCGGTATGTTCTCCTTTTTTTTTTCTGTTTGCTTTTCACTTTCACCCCATCCTTTCCCTGGCTTGCGTCCACTTGCTCCTTGTCTCCCTCTCCCAGGGTGCTGGGCCACACAGCCTTCCCACCATCCTGGCCGCTGGGCACAGCCTGCAGTGCCCCATCCTCAGAGGACACCTGGAGATCACCAAGGGCCATCTTCCTCTCATCCCCAGGGCCTTGCAGCCTCGGAACCTTGTGCAGGAGAGAGAGCACACTGTGAGTGGGCCACACCCCACAGGCAGCACCCACCCAGGTCGCAGACCCCAGTGACTGCCTTACTCACCACATCCTGCCCTGCCCTTCCCCACAGAGGCTTCCATCAGAGGAGCAACACATCCAGACTGTGCGCCTCTACTGCCTCCAAAGGAGCTTCAGAAAATAGCTTCTGTGTCTCAGCCCTCCTGGCCCTTGTCAGAAGTGGAACCCAGGGCAGTGCACTGCCCCCAGGCACAAACCCCACTGGGAAAGGGCACAGGAGGAGCAGCTATTCCAATGCCACTTCCCCCACCCAGGCTCCACAGACTCATTTCACAATACATTCCTATTAGGAAGTCAGACAGGGGATCTGCCTGGTGGTCCAGTGGTAAAGAATCCACTGTCCAATGCACAGGACACGGGTTCAATCCCTGGTCGGGGAACTCAGATCCCACATGCCACGGGGCAACTAATGCCACGTGCCACAACTACTGAGCTCATGCGCTTCAACTAGAGCCCGTGTGCCATAAACTACAGAGTCCACGTGCTCTGGATCCCACATGCCACAACTAGAGAGAAGCCCGTGCACTGCAGCAAAAGATCCCGCATGCCACAACTAAGACCTGACACAGCCATAAAAAATTAAAAAAATAAATATCTTTTTTAAAAAAGAAAGAAAGTCAGACAAGTCAGACAGTAAAGTCATTCGTTGTCTTTTTTTTTGCCCACGCCGCACGGTACCAGGGATGGAACTCATGCCCCCTGCAGTGGAAGCATGGAGTCTTAACCACTGGACTGCCAGGGAAATCCCCATTCACTGTCTTCTTACACTTGCAAGAACAAACACGCAAGCATGCGCGCCTAGAAAGCTGCCCACGAGAATCACCCCTGAAGACGTCACCTGGCCTTGTAGCTGCTCACGAGAATCACTCCTGAAGACGTCACCTGGCCTTGTTTCTTGCAAAGCTTTGCACTGTTACGCGTCTTCACAGGCTTGGCGGCCTGTGCAGATCTGGAACACAAAACCATACGTAAATGCATAAATCTGCTGCTCACTTAGGAAGCCCACCATTCTGAAAACAGATAAATAACCTACATTACAGACTACAGAGTCTCCAGTCTTTCCAGTGGACTCTCTATTTTTCACAACATGTTTGGTGAACATGAGCATATTCACAGGACATCTGCGGGCGGGGGCGAATGAGCGCAACTCCAGTCTGACACTAAGGAGCTGCTGGCAGCTGCAAAAGCACCCCTGGCACACGTCCTGCCGACAGGAGACCCGCGGGGGCTGCAGAAAGAGCGGATGGCACAGCCAGCCCTGTCACCCACCAGGTCCACCTCTGCCCACCCCCGGCCCCTGTCAATACTGTGACTGCCATGGGACTTCCCTGGTGGTCCATGGTTAAGGCTCCACGCTTCCAATGCAGGGGACGCGGGCTCCATCCCTGCTTGGGGACCTAGGATCCCGCGTGCTGCGCAGCCAAAAAAATTAAAAATTAAAGAAAAAAAAACTACGACTGCCAGGAAATCATCAATTTAGAAAAACGGTCCTTCAAGAGTAGCCTTGAAGAAGCAGTAATTGCGAGAAACACATTCAGAAACAAAACCCAAACTAAACACAGAGATCAGACACAACAGGCCCGAGCAGGAGCGCGGGGCAGCCCCTGCAGCCGCCACCCAAACACCACCATGGGGACAGGCCCTGGGGGGCCAGGCACTGGCTTACGGAGGGCAAGGGAGGCCCGCGACCAGGCGACTGACCAACTTCACACCCACTAGGACGGCTACAGCGAAAAGATGGACAATAACAAGTGCTGGCAGGCGTGTGGCGAACTCAAGCTCCTCGTACGCTGCAGGTGGGAATGTGAAATTGTGGAGCCGCCCCGGGAAACAGTGTGGCAGTGCCGGAGCGCGGCACACAGCTACCACGAGACACAGCAGCTCCACTCCTAGGTGTTCACACAAATACTGTGAGGGAATGTTCACAGCAGCAATACTGACAGGAGCCCAAAGGTGGAAACAACCCAAAATGTCCATCAACAGATGAACGGATAAGCAAAAGGTGCTACACTCAAACAGTAAAATATTTTCAGCCATAAAAATGAAGTGCTGTGGCTTCCCTGGTGGCGCACTGGTTAAGAATCCGCCTGTCGATGCAGGGGACACAGGTTCAAGCCCTGGTCCGGGAAGATCCCACGTGCAGTGGAGCAACAAAGCCCGTGCGCCACAACTACCGAGCCTGCGCTCTAGAGCCCGCGAGCCACAGCTACTGAGCCCGCATGCCGCAACTACTGAAGCCTGCGCACCTAGAGCCCGTGCTCTGCAACAAGAGAAGCCACCGCAATGAGAAGTCCACTCACTGCTACAAAGAGCAGCCCCCGCTCGCCACAACCAGAGAAAGGCTGCACGCAGCAACGGAGACCCAACACAGCCAAAAATAAATAAATAATTTTTTACATAAATAAAAATGAAGTGCTGATACGTGCTACAATGTGGATGAATCTTGAAAATATGTTAAGTGAAAGAAGCCGGACACAAAAGGACAAATATTGTGTGACCCACTTGTACAACATACCCAGGACAGGCCAATTCGTACAAATAAAAGGCTGATGAGAGGTCGTCAGGGGCTGGGGGAAGAGGGAAATGAGGGGTATGGGGTTTCCCTTTGAGGTGATGAAAAAATTCTGGAATTAGATCGTGCTGATAGCTGCCCAAGATTTGAATGTCCTTAGTACCAAGGAATTGTACACTCTGAAATGGTTAAAATGATGAATTTTACATTATATGAATGTTATCACAACAAAAACAAACACAAAAGGAAAGTTTCCCAAAATTTCTGACATTTTCCATGAGAGAAAAAGAAGAGTTGGGACAGAACACCAGGCACAGGAGAAATCCTGCCTCTGTTCACAGCACGGGGGCCGCACGATGAGGCCCACAAGCTAGACCTAGGTCGCACACGTTTCTGTCTGTCTGGCCAAGGAGTTCTGTAAAATTTCAGCAACATTTAACATCTGAGACGCTTCACCATAACGATCCCCACGTCGATGGTGTGTGAGCTGCATACCCAGGGGCCTGCTCAGAAGTTCATCCACCACTCACGGCGGGGGTCCAGCAGGGAGGGAGGGAGGGAGCAAACGGCAGCCAGAAAAGGGAGGGGCCCACCCTCCCCCCACCCCACTCCCCCCCACCCGATTACGGGAAACTAATAAACATGATTTGACATGACTCAGAGAAAACATCAAATTAAACTACTCCTGTACTCCGAGGCCAGGTGCTTCACCCAAAACTGGAAATACTATTTAGAACAACAGCTTCAACTGCCTGATTCTGAAGCCTGGACCCCTTTCACCATGAACTGATACGCAAAGCCACACGTGTTTCCATCACCATCAAGCCACACGTGTTTCCAACACCAAAGTTTCCAAAAGCAAAACCTACCACGGTTTTTTTCCATCAGGTTTTTTCTTTGTTCTACTGGACAAAGAGAGCTATTTATACTGTCCTCTGAGACAAGAAAGTGGTAGAAAACAGGAGAGGTAAAGAAAGGTCAGAGACAACCATATGCCTAATGCCTTTTAAACAATTTTTGGTTCTATTCTTTGAAAAAGATGTGGTTACGTTGATTGTTAACTAGTTTACAATTATTTCTGACAAGATCCTTTATTTATTGATAAAATAAAAACCACAAAAGAGAGGACCGACAGCAGATGAAGGGGGCCAGTCCTCGGCCTTCACAGAAGGCCTTCACAGAACGCGCAAAAGACTGATTTCCTGCGCGCAGCCAGCAGCTCCCATTACCAATCGTTCTGTGGTTCTACCAGATTCTTCACTTCTGCTCAAGTGAGAGCAAAGACTGGATAAAAACAGGGAGTGCAGGTCCCAATTCCAATGCCAAGGCCGGACTCAGGACTGAAGGTGATGTCGCTGCCCCTTCCACTGCTGCATCCTCACCACCCTATCTCACCTCCTGCACAGACGAAAGGGACACAGAACAAACCCTACCTGATATCTTCTGAAATGGAGAACGTACTTTCTTCCTTCAGGCACTGCTACGAGTCACAAGAAGACAGAAAGTTTTACTGAGAACATTTCCATGTTGCAGTAATGGTTAGAACTTCTGTTAAAACACTAAAGAGACCACCACCAATGTGTCCTGAAGTGGCCCCTGGGAAGAGCAAACGTGACCCTCAGCAAGTGAGCAAGTTAGGTCCAGGACACCACGACGCCCCCAGCCGGCAGCTTCCGGGTCCTTAGAACTCAGCCAGAGGGTGGCAGCCACTCAAAGGATTCTGAGTAATGCGTAACCGAACCCACCCCTCCCAGAACTGACTCCGAGGCCCAGGCACAACACAAAGCAGCGCGCCTTCCGAAATTAGAAATAAATGTACTTTACACACAAAGTGTACATTTTTAAAACTATCAAAATGCCATAGAGACTAAGAAAGGCTTACAGATTTAAAAAAATGAAGCATTTAACTTACTGAAGCCCGTTAAGTTTAAAAACAGGACATTAACAGTAAATGAAAGACTCAGACCTGGTCTCTCCCACATCTTCCCTGATGGTTTGGTTTGGCTCCTTCACTTTCTGTTTCTTCAGGTTTTCTAGGTTCATGTGGTCAGTATTCTCCCTCTTTCTTTAATGAAAAACAAATTTTAATGCAAATCCCAAGGGAGGAAATGTAAAGCCAACATTGAAAGGATGTCTCTGGCTTGAAGAAATACAAACTGCACAGAAAAGCGATAGGATCACCCCGCCCTCTCCCTCTCCAGCCTGACACCAGACTCCTTGCTCGACACCACCTGGGCCATGTCTGTGTGCACACACTCTTCCCATCCCATTTTCCACTAGTGCAGGGATGGGGTCAGTTAGACTAGGGCATTTCAAGAGGTGAGCCAGCTCGTTAATAAAAATCACAATCCACTAAGCAAAGGCCACTTCTTCCCAAAAACATTCAGTTACCTTGTGAGGGCAACCTCACCCTTCACCGAGAATGGCTGCAAATCGGACATTTGACCATCTCCCATAGCCTCTTCTTTACCTGTAATCGCGTGTCTCCAACTGTGAGAAAACAGAGCTGAGATGCATCAAAGAGGACCCCAGGTGAGGAGCAGGTCAGGCGGAAAGGATGTGAGCCTGGGCCCATGTGCAGGGACATTCTATGGCCTGTCATGCTTGTGGCTGGTGGTCCCACTGGCTGAGTCTACATCTAAAACAGGTCAACAGCTAACTCACATCAACCCACGACTAAGAGAAGAGCAAAGGCCCACCGTTCACAAGGTCTCTATAGAACAGGCGCACCAGGAGATGCGTGTCACTCTTGACCTCATTACTACAGAAACAGTCTCCAAGAACAGCTTCAGGGCTTCCCTGGTGGCGCAGTGGTTGAGAGTCCGCCTGCCGATGCAGGTGACACGGGTTCGTGCCCCGGTCCGGGAAGATCCCACATGCCGCGGAGCAACTAGGCCCGTGAGCCATGGCCGCTGAGCCTGCGCGTCCAGAGCCTGTGCTCCGCAACGGGAGAGGCCACAACAGTGAGAGGCCCACGTACCGCAAAAAAAAAAAAAAAAAAAAAAAAGAACAGCTTCAGTTAACAGGTCCTGAGCATTTTGCCGCGTTTTATGTATCATCTTCTTTACATTTTGAAACGTCACGATTAACTATCTTGAAGGCAGGCAACAACTGCACTGAAAATAGCCTGTTTGCCAATTCCAGCTGAGTACTTATGGCTTTAGATGCATCAGACCGAAAGGAAAAGGAAAAGAAAGCTGTAAACTCGTGGTGTTAACGAGATTAACGCCAGCAGGTGGTAAAGACAAAGAAGGCAGATCAGAACTCAGGCAATGGGGCGGGCGGCTCCACGAGGAGGGCAACCCAGGCCCTAAGGCGGATATTCGGGTTCCAGGGCGGCCTCCGGCGGGGACTGGAGCCCGGGGCACCGAGGGATTTGCGTGCGTCCGCGCCGGTCCACACCCATTTCCTAGGGAGCTGGTCAGGCACAGGAGGCCCCGCGGGCCACGCTGGATCGTGCGGAGAAGGGGAGACTGGGGAAAACGTCCCCCTGGAGAAGGGGAGACTGGGGAAAACGTCCCCCTCCGGGCCCCACCCGCCGCGCGTTCCGGAAGTCCCACCTGCGGCTCCTCGAAGCCTCGGGCTCCGCAGCGAGCGCACCGTCTACCGATGCGCCATCTCCTGCCGTCAGGTCCGCGCGTGCGCGGCGCCGCCACCACCACGTGCCGCGCCTCAGCGGCGCGGGGGCCGCCGGGAAGGCAGGAGGCGCAAGCGTGGGGCGGGGCTCCTGCGCGGCACTGGCAGCTGGGGGTCTGGGGCGCGAACTCCCAGTCGCAGGCGGCGCGGGAGGTGGGGGGTGCAGAGCTGGGCCCTGGCAGGGCGGGTAGGAGCGACGAGGGGGCAGCCCAGGGTCAAGGGCCCCGCGGGAGATCTTGGCCCAGGTGTGTGAGCGTGCACGTGCACCTGCGTGCGCGGGCTGGGATTGGGGAAGGACCGGCGGGGCGTGGATGTGATGGTGCAGGCGGAGGGGGGGCGGGGACTGTCAGGTTAGGAAAGACAGCGTGCTCCCATTGCATTTAGAGGGATGAGTGACCCTCAGTGGGCAGGACAGTTCTTGGGGCAGAGAGGCCTGCGGGAGACGCAGTGCCTGTTTTCCTGGGAGACGGCAATGAGGTCGGCCAGCGGAGGATGGTGGAGGTGGGGACAAGAGGAGTTGAGGATGACACCCAGTGTTCCAGTTTGCATGGTTGCATGGGTGGGGCTGTCCTCTGACCCTAAAACCCCATCACAGGAAAACCGCCTAAAAACATACCTCTGGTGAAAACAGAGGAGGCTATTACAAACATGCTCCTTACTTTACAATTTGGTTGTTGTTTTATAAGTTCTGGTGCTTTTGTTTGACGTTATTAAAGATGCCATTTTCCTGCCTTCTTAACAAATGGACGTTAGGTAAATGGCTGTTTTCCTGCTTTGGTGAATAATGGCCAGACGGAAGCCTTCTGTCGTGCCGACGGCCTCTCACTGCCAGCCCAGTGTGTGCTGCGGAAGCTTTGCATAAAGATGGCATCTAATCTACAATTGCGCCTGGATTTGCTAGAGCCCCACGGAGGCTCAACTCATTTTATTCAGAACGCCACGGAACGATAACCAAAAAAGGATACCGTGAAGGCAACATCTATCATATGCTTCTTTAAAAACCCCATTGTCAGCATCAGTGACAATGGCATTACCGCTCAGTCACTGAGATTAAAAATTAGTCATACGTGGAAAATAGAAACAGGTTTTCAGGGAAAAGGAAGCTTTGGTTCCACTGAATTATGCCTCTTTTTTGCTTGGTAAATAAAGGATGCATATTTTCCAATGATATATATTTTCGAGGTTAGCTATGTCTAGGTGGTCCCAGATTTGGGGTAAGAGCCTTGTTGTCAGTTGACTGACTGGGCAGGTGTCAAAAACACTTTATAGGGCTTCCCTGGTGGCGCAGTGGTTGGGAGTCCGCCTGCCGGTGCGGGGGGCGCGAGTTCGTGCCCCAGTCCGGGGGGATCCCGCGTGCCGCGGAGCGGCTGGGCCCGTGGGCCGTGGCCGCTGGGCCTGTGCGTCCGGAGCCTGTGCTCCGCGGCGGGAGGGGCCGCGGCGGTGGGAGGCCCGCGTACCACGAAGAAAAAAAAACAAAACACTTTATAACTTATATCCAAAACCGTCTGACAACAAGGTATTCAGTTGTGACATCAGAGTTACCGCCATCCAGAATCTGAATCTTTCAGGATTGGGTCACGAATGAGTCCTTGGAATGACGGGTGTTTTCCTTCTCTTAGGTGTCGCAGCCCATCAGTGAGGCTGAGTGTGCAAAGCGTCACTCGGCTGCCTGCGGCCTCTCACCCCCTTAAACCCTGGTGAAACCGAGCCCTCTGCCTTCCGGGCAGCCACATGCCAGCTGGGGCCCCCGCCCCACCGGGAAGCCCCACCCCCCTGTCCTTAGCCATCCTCCTTCTTGCCTCCTGTGACCTCCAGCACCCCTCCTCGGCCCACTCTCAGCGGGGGCCTTGCTTCCTATGTCATCGACACATAGAAACAGCGCACAGGGAGTGTCCGCACCCTCCCAGCCCCACGTGTGCCCTGCCTGTGTCTGCCATCCCTCTGCCTCCTCCTGTCGCTGTGGTTGGACTGTTCGAACCTCTGTTGAAGGCTCTCAGCCCTCCCCTGACCCCACAAGCACGTGTCCCACCAGTTCTCTGCCCCCCGCCCCCTGCCAAGCAGAACTCCCCAGACGTGTGTCCACTTCCCGTCCTCTGGCTCACTTTTGATCCCCGTTAAGGCAGCCTTCTGTCCCCACACCCCACTGAGATGGCCCCCAGCAAGGTCTCCAACACCCACCACCACCTTCCCTGGCCTTATCCCGCTGACCATCAGCAATGTGGGATGATGCCTCATTTACGGGTGCTCCTCGGACCGTGTCCATCCCCAGGTTTCTGGGGGGCATCTGGCCCAGCTGCTCCTCCTCTTCCTGGCACTGCCATGAACTGCCAAGCTGTCTGCCCATGACTGCCCCACCACACGTGGCCCTGCCTGCAGCCCGCTCCCCACCTGGCCTCACCTGGCCTCCACTCCTCCAGAGCCCAGGGTGGTCCTTCGGCAGCAGGATTTTCTGCAGAAGGTCGTGGGGAGGCCTCAGTGGGGGAGAACATGCAGGTGCCTTCAGCCGTCTGCCAGGGATCAGACCAGTAAACACCACGCTCTGGGGAGCCCTGGGCATCCTCACCTCGCACTGTTCAAAGGATAAAGCTAGTTCCCCAAAGTGGCCAGAAAAATGTCCATGGAGCCAGGCCACGATGCCAAACTTACAAGGACAATAATTTGTACCCACCCCCTTTCCTTGGACCTCATTCCCGAAAAGGGCCGTTTTCCCAGAAGCCACCGTCCTTGCTTGGAGACAGACCTCTCCCTCCCTCCCCACGTGCACCTCTGCGTCCAGGAGGGGCGAGAGCACAGACGTGGCTTGGGAAGGGTCCAGAGTGTGGTGGGTATTCAGGGCCCACAGAGCCCCTCCCACCAGGGCCCTGGGCTGGGCGCCCTGAAGGAGACTCTTCTAAGGCACTCTCTCTGCTCCCAGGTGGCTTTTCCAGGTGCCCTCTGCAGCCAATGCTCTCAGTGGCTCTTTTTTTTTTTTTTTCCCAAATGACTCTCAACTTGCCTTCAAATAAGAATAAATATGTGTGTCTGTTCCCTGGGCCTTTGACAGCCCTGAGCTGGCCCCATGACTTGGGTGGGATTGATGGCCCCGTCTCACTGAGAAGCCAGGTGCATTTTTTACTAAAGGTGGTTTCCAAATGATGAATGGCTTTCTCACGAACACAAAATTGTTGATTGTATTTACAAACAATTCCTTTTTCACGTTCCGTTGATTCTTCTCCAGCGTTGGTCCCTCAGTGACACCCGCACGGCTGATGCATTGGCGGCTATTACCTCCATTGATTAAGGCTTCCTGTGGTCCCGCGGTGCCTGGTACGCCATTTGTCACAGACAAGCGGCTTGCACACAGCAGTATATCATGCTCCCTTCGGGCTTCACGGTTATTTATTCTTCAATTTATGTTGCGTACCCTGTAAGTACAGGCGCACACCAAAACTCCAAAATCTTAGCATGCCACAACAGTGAGCGAATACAGGAGTCAAGGAATTCTTTGCCAATCCCGTGCCTCCAGAGCCTGACTCCTCTGCCCCTCATTCTGAAAAAATGCAAATGTAAATAAACAGTGTCAGCACTGTCCCTAATTGAGACTTGGGACCAGAGAGAAGGTCGACAGAAGTGCCGCCACTTTTCACCAAGTCATTCACCATTTAGCACGGAACCAAAAGACCTCAGACCCAAAGTCTTCAGCACCTCCTGGGGACGAGGCAGCCGTCAAAATGGCCCAATCCAGGCCAGGTGGGAATTTTCTAGAATCAGCTGCTTTCTCTAGGTTTCTCTGTCCCACCTCCTCCTCCTGATGGCATTTTTGGCTCACCCGGGGCATTCCCCACGGTCAGTCCCTACCAGGAAACGGGCTGTGTGCAGAGAAGGTGCTGGACGCTGCAAGGTCCTGGCTTCTCTCCGGCCACTGGGTCTTGGGCAAGCCGGTGACACTCCAGATAGCCAGGCCCTCCTCTGGAACTTGCAGAGGCTCAGAACAGAGCCCAACTTTCCTCCCAACTCGAAAACCTGGGTGTTCACGTTCGCATCGATAGCCTATCTGGCTCATAGTTGCAAAGTGTCGATCAGTATAAAAGTGTAAGTCAGAGCCCATCGGCACTTACCGTGTACTGCCGTGGAGAGAAATTTATCTTCTCACAGTGCAGGAGGCTAAGTCCAGGATCAAAGGTGCCAGCTTATTCAGCTCCTTGTAAAGACTCTCTTCCTGGTTTGCAGATGGACACCTTCTCAGTGTGTCCTC